CAAAAATAATAGGTTGTAGCCGTTTACCCATATCTATGATTTTCTGCTTTTCTTCTTTGTTTTCAAGATTGTGAAACTTGTGGTAGACGCCTTGATCCCAGAGGATTTTATTTAGAAGCATAGTGTGAACTATGAAATTTTTGCAATCTTTCAGACATTCTTTCCAATGCTGAAATAGCGTTTGAGGTAGATCAAAGGCAGTTCCTGTCATCATATGGAACAAATAGAATTTGTGCATATCTGACATGTTGTCTTTGCCACCTATTTTGTGGTGGATTGATTTGTTCAGAATTTGTTGACAAATTTTGGCCTTGTCATCAAGCTTGTTGTACACTATTGGCCCTTTCTCACCTTCTTTGTGAAGAGCTTTAGTAACTTTTGTCAGCTCTCCGGTGTTAGAAATCCACTCTTCCCAGTAAGTGTTCCTAGCTCTTTCACATCCAATGGCTTGAGCGATGATAGTGGGGGATATCCTGACCTTCACTCTGAGAACCTTTCCTTCAAAGGATCCTTGATGAATTCTTAGAGATTTATAGAATAATTTTACCAAACCTGGGTAGACTATTTCCTTAATGTTGAAGTACCCAAGGATCCCGCATTTGGCAATCTTCATATATAGGTATTCCCCATTCCTGCATTTTCTTAATGTCGAAGCGGTGCTCTAAGTACATGACTGGCTTTTCCTCTATAGAGAAAATGTTGGCATAGTCGGTAGCTTCGCGAATTTCTGCTGGAATGTTCACATCAGCAATGTTTCCAATTTGTGCGGCCATTGGAATGGAGAAGAAGGGTTTCAGAGATGAGAGATTAGGGTTTAGAGACTTGAGGCGGAGGTGAAGGGTTTTGAGTTTTAAAGTTGTAAAACGTAGGGAGTACGTTTTCTAATATTTTTATTTTGAAACAGAAGAATATTTTCTATTTTTTTTGTTTCCCTTATGATTTGTATGACGTGGCGTCCTTTGGTCTACTCCACGTAAACTGTCGTACGGTCGCACATTAATATTAGGAGAGAGATTTGCCTTTTCGAGAGAGTATTCAAAATGACAGCGTTGTCATTTGTCTACTTAGTTGTCTCATTCATTTAAATGAGGAGAATGTTTGTCTCTAACTGCACTACGTTAATTAATGATAATTTCAATGCACTAAATTTTTCAGACACAAGAGAAGTGGTTTGCCCACTTCATCTGACGAGGACTCAAACGCTGTAATTTCTTGCAGTGTCCTTAGGTGTATACAGATGCAGTAATTCACTATGTCTCTGTCTGTATGGACAATAAACGTATATGAATATTCTAGCATATCAGACGATATCTATCCTAGTATAGTGTAGATTATGCTTTTGAGTAGGTAGAATGATATATATTTTACCTATGTCAGTCGTTCATCTTGCTTGCTTTTCAGCTTCCTTTGTCCTTCATTTTTCTATGGATCGTCATATTCCCCTGCATTGTTAGATGCTTAACCCAAGGGGTCAAGCTCTGATACCAATTGAAGTTAGCGGAAAAACACATAGAAGGGGGGTTGAATATGTGTGTGTTTGAACAAAGAAATTTTGAAAACCATTTTCGTAAGAGTAATGTTCTTCGTCCAGTACACTTTTAAAATGTCAGACTGTTATGCTGAATTTGTTTAACATAAGATCAATTCGTTTGAAGGGTTTATCGTCTGCTAGGGAAAATGTTTCATAATAATAATAATTTAAGTTCTTACATTTTCCTTTTCAAAATAGTTTCATTTTAAAGACAAGTAGTTGATAAATCTTTTCAGTGTAATATATCTATTAAACATATTTGCATCTTCGTTTAAAACTGGTTTTGATTAAGAATAGATAATAGACGAAATTTTTCAACATGATTTGTCAATTAAAAGAAAATTGCGTCTGAAATGTTAGTAGAGTAGTGCAATCATTTTTATACTGGTTCGCTCAACTGAGCTACGCCCAGTCTCCTTCAACTGAAGGGTTCCACTAGATATTAAATGAAAACCATTGAGTATTATTGTCCACTCTTAGACCTGAGTATTCTCGACCACTCCTGGCCCTGAGTATTCTCGACCACTCTTGGCCCTAAGTATTCTCGACCACTCCTAGCCCGTCGGCTTCACTCACCAATGCTAGTATTCTTAAATCACTTCTAGTTCTCCAAGTATTCTTGACCACTCCTGGCCCGTTGGCTTCACTCACCAACGCTAGTATTCTTAAACCACTTCTGGTTCTCCAAGTATTCTCGACCACTCTTGGCCCGCCAGCTTCACTCACCAGCGCTAGTATATTCTTTTCAGCCACTTCTGGCTAGCAGTGAGTATTATGGACCACCTAGGTCAGAACCACTCCTGGTCCAAGTATTCTCTACCATTTCTGGCCTGCTAGCTTCACTCACTAGTGCTAGTATTCTTTGTTCAGCCACTTCTGGCTCTTAGTGAGTATTCTTTGAGAAGCCCCTCCGGGCTTTATAAGTATTCTTTTTCTAGCCTTTTCAGGCTTTACAATTGATAAATGTGTAGTCGGGTTTGAGTGTTTTGGGTTACTCTCATAGAGAGGATACATATATGATCTACACTCACTAAGGTTTTACTTTCTAAGATGTACACATTCAGAATTCCTTAGTTTATAGAGAAAATTACACTAAGGTACATTTGACTCTATTTGCTCTCTCTCTGATTTTGTTACTTCATGGGCTAAATATAGCTCTTCTTCATGCTTGCACCATTTCGAACCAAGTAGCCAACTCTTTAAGGTTTGATGTAATAATAATTTAAGTTCTTACATTTTCCTTTTCAAAATAGTTTCATTTTAAAGACAAGTAGTTGATAAATCTTTTCAGTGTAATATATCTATTAAACATATTTGCATCTTCGTTTAAAACTGGTTTTGATTAAGAATAGATAATAGACGAAATTTTTCAACATGATTTGTCAATTAAAAGAAAATTGCGTCTGAAATGTTAGTAGAGTAGTGCAATCATTTTTATACTGGTTCGCTCAACTGAGCTACGCCCAGTCTCCTTCAACTGAAGGGTTCCACTAGATATTAAATGAAAACCATTGAGTATTATTGTCCACTCTTAGACCTGAGTATTCTCGACCACTCCTGGCCCTGAGTATTCTCGACCACTCTCTTTTCAGTTTGAGGTTATTGCATACTTATAAGCATGTAAAAAATTTGCCCATTGCATATGTCCGTTGAAGCTGATATGGTCGTTCATGACTAGCTTGATCCTTTTATTTAAAGCATTTGGTTCTGCATTAAATGTTGCTTCTCGATTTTATACATTGCGTGTATTCTTCTTTGTCCTGTTGTCAGCAGTGTTTGACTATACCTGAAACCTAGAAATTATTTGTCTTTTTCTGGTCATGCAACTATATAGCCTTTGTCCTTTTTTGAACAAGTAATGCACATTTTGTGAAACATAGATGCTTTTCTTTTGCATTCTTCTCTTCTTCTTCGTTCCTCTATTTAGATCACGCATTTTGCGTTGAGAGCTTCTGTGTGGTTATAGACAATGTCTTGGTTTGTTTCTTGAGACTTGATTCTTTAATTGCTTACGCGACAGTCTGTGTCTTCGTCTATTGGTCTTGTGCATCTCAATCTTGACCTTTGTCTCAGCGTCTAAATTTAATGCTTTGCTTTTTCTTTTGTTTTGGTTAACAATGTGATAGACAGATGTAGACCCCTAAAATTGTCCGGGTCGGAAATAAAGCTTGAAGACTCTCGAAGACTGAAGGATAATCAGCCAGAAGGACTCCTCGAAGGCCCTAGGAGGGTTCTCTGTAGGTCTAGAGGTCTTAGAATAGCTCAAAATAAAGAAGTGGAGGGAAAAAGCCCAATACGGCCGTACTGATGCTTGCACCATTTCGAACCAAGTAGCCAACTCTTTAAGGTTTGATGTTGAGGCTTATATAGTCTTGTGAAATCTACCCGTTGCAATTGTCCATTGAAGCACATATAGTCGTTTACGATCAGTTTGATCTTCTCATTTAATGCTCAGATTCTTGCATTAAATGTTGCTTCCTGTTTATAGACAATGTGTGAAGTTTCCTTGCTCAATTAGTAGCTGTGTCTAAATATAGTAGAGTCCTAGGAAACTTTTTTTCCTTTTCTGATCCTATAGCTGTGGAACTTTTGTCCTTGCCTGAAAAAGTGATGTACTTTTTCTGACATATGCATGATTTAGCATTTGAGTATACTCTTCTTCTTTCTTTTTCTCTTCTCATAATTTGACTGACTTCGTGTGTTCTTCTGTGAGTGTAGTCGATATTCAAATTGTCCTTTGAAGCTTGATTTCTCAGGTGATTGTGTGCCATTCTTTGTCTCCTTCTGGTAGTCGATATTTAGTTTAATACTTTGACCTTTGTCTGATCATCAACATTTTGACTTTTCCTTTCGTCTTGATCAACCTTGTATATGATCAGGCTTTCCATTTCTTCTGGAGTTTCTTCTTGGTCGTTGACCATCTTTCGTCTGAGTCTTTATGTGCTTCCTTAGATTGTGCTTGGCATGGTCTTGTTCTTGATTTGGCTTGTTGAGTGCTTATGTTGACCTTTCGTTTTGTATCGTCTGATGCTTATGCCTCTTCATCATTTTACCTATTCTTATGTCTTTCTGAAACACTAACTCACTTGTTAGAGATAACAACATATATTATATTTATCTCACTCAAAACCTTTTTGGGAATTTCTTCATTTGACTTAACAGGAACTACCCTTCTAGCGGTTGTTGGTTTAAGGGGTACATGCCAAGAAAGACCACAAAATGCAAGCTTTGGTAATTTCAGTGACATGACCACTTTTAGGGATTGTCAAAGAAATCCTGAGAATGCAAACTATAGTAAGTTTCTGGTTGGTGGCATAAAAAAGAATGATAGGCTAATTTCTTTTAGTATTGCCTAGATGATTAAGCCTAGGTTGCACAACCATGCTCAGATTTATAGGGATGACTTATTGTTAATGTATGCTATTGAGAATAAGATTCAATTGTGTGACACCCATTCAACCCCAACATATAATACAATTAAATAAGAAAAACTTTCAATAACTACTAAGGTAAAATAGGTTCACATGCAATTCATCCTTGAACATCCAGCCAATTAAAATATAATAATTACAAAACACAAGGTTTTCAACAATGTTTAAATACAAAAGGAAAGGTAATCAACATAAAAGTAACCCTATCCTAATCCCATTGCCCTAATGTCACATTATCAGAGCAAACCCGTAGCTTTGAACTCTCAGTAATTTGAGTTCCACCCTAACCATTGTCACCATTACCTAAAATAAAAACCACAAAGTATACAGGTGAGAAAAACAAGCATTCATATGTAAGATACAAGAAAAGAATTTTAATCTAAACATATAGTCAACCCAACATACATTTCAATCATAACAATGTCATCACCGTATATGTTCAACAATTATTATCATCACAATCATATCATAATACAACTTATACTGATGCTCATGTCAGTGTATATTTAATGGAATCTCCTAAGAAGCATTGACTCAAAGCGTCGCATAATGGGTGAACTTCGTCAATCTCCTCAGGCACCACCATGCATAACCACATTGTTTACATCACTTATGACCAGTGTCACACTGTTAATCACCACTTAGGGCAGTGTATAAATAATGCATCCCACACTGTTTACATCCCTTATGACTGGTGTCACACCCTGTTAATAACGACTTATGGCCAGGGTAAATGTGTATACAACGTGCACCCATGCTCATGTCATGTCACCTCATCCATTCATCATTTCTACCCATGCCAATGCACAATTAATAATAAGCCATATCCAACCACAATTATATGTTAACTCATCCACACACACGTCATTTATACTTAATCATACAATAGTCATTACTAGACATTATACAATTCATAACCATTATCAAAATTCATCAATATAACACCATATTTCACAATCCCACATCAAACTCATTCAATCATATAATAAGTATTATAAGGAATTACTAAGAAATCATAAAGTATCACAAATATGCCAAAAAGGGGTCCCAAAACGTCAAAAACGCAAACTGAAATAGAACACTCGCGCCGGGCACCATAAATCTTAACAGCCTAACCTTTACTCACTATTTTAACCATAACTTGAGTTATACACATAATTTTTGAGTGATTTAAACACCATTGGAAATATAGAATCTAAGGCTATAAATTTTATGAAGAACATAAAGCCTAAAAGTGTCGTTAAGGTCACCTCGCATGGCTGATAACACAAAACTTAATATTTTGCACACTAGAATGGAGACTGAACTTATAACTTGCATAAATCGATCAATTATTAACTTGCATAAATAGATCAATTATTAACATTTTTACATGATTCTAGAGTCTAAATTATAGCCCCAATTGTATACTTTCTAACCCAACAAACAAAAATTGATTTCCTTAATCACATAGAAAGTTATCACAAAAATACTAAGGTACATCCATAAGTAAAATCTCATAATTATTTATTAATTCATATAATTAAGGGTGCTCATCAATCTAGAAGAACCCTAACTTACAGAGCACATCCCAATGAATTCTATTATCATCTAGATCATCAATATATATAATTTTCTATTTGTAATTTGTGCCAGGCTTCACCATGGTACACTCAACTTTAAGCCACAACAGAAAGCACACACAATCTCATGCCTAGCGAAATTACAATTTTTCCCGGTGCTAAGGAGCCATAAAGAGCTCACCAAATTTTCACGTCCAACATGATTTTGCTTAGGCTTCACATTCATCAATATGAATGCAAGCCTGGTGCCAAGGACTCAAGCCCAGTGCCAACGCATTTTCCAGAAAATATAGTATGAACAAAACGTCACCAAGACTCATAATCGAATGTGCACACATCCTTTTATCAATCCCATCAGCCAAAAACATTTATTTTTATCCAAAAATACATTATACTTCATTAATTCATGAAATCACACATCAATTAACAATATCCCAAATTCTCAAGAACCCTAACCCACGAAGACATTGAAATGAATTCAATTATCTATTAAAGTATTAATTCTACCAAATAATACAATAAACATGTTCACAATTCAATTTAGAACCTAATTGGATTGTCAATTTTATCTTCAGAAAGAAATAGAAAAATCTTGGAAATTTATGAATTTTTCTCACTACCCATTCTCTCTTGCAATCACATATATAAATCACTCATTTCTATCACCCATACCTTATTGTGACTATAAGAGCAATTTAATGCAGTTTGAGACAATCTAAGCATTTCTCCTCATAGCTCATCCCTTCTTTTCCTTCTCGTTCTTAGTCCTTCCAGAACGTAAAATGAGGCAGATCCCCATAACTCTTGCCTAATCATTCTCTTAAAAAAAACTCACTGAATCGGGTCAACCTAGCCTGTTTCCCTTCTCCCATTAATTAAATAAATTAATATAATTCATTAAAACTGCCTTATTATTATTTAATAAAATAATTCTCCACATTTAATTTCAAATAATAATTCTAAATATAATTTAATAATATTTACTTACAAAATTACTCATTATTGAATAATATTTATTTTTAGAAAAATCAGGATGTTACAAATTGGATTGAGATTTTGTTGTGAATGATATTATGAAAGCTAGGAGAAAGGAAGATGGTTTTTATCCCTATCTTCTACTACTATCAAGAGTTTTTTAGTACCTTGGAGTGGATCTCACGGGAGAAAAGAATATTGTTCTCTACTCATCCAACAAGATTGAAAGAGAGTATTTCTTCATCACGTGGGAATGAAGAATCAAGAGAGCAAATGGATCTTTAAAGGTAATGTACCTCAAACTCCAGATCCTATGGCTGATGAGGATGGATTTGTAGGTGGTGATGAAGCTATAGAGGAACAAGAATTATAAAATATTGGGGAAGCGAAAGCATAACTTAAACTATCATCTCCAGTTAAGCAAATTCTGATTAATAAGATAGATGCTATCATGGAAACCAACCAAAAGCATGAGTCTACATTCTCTGGGATGCTTGACAAATTTGATAAGCTTCAAGATGAGATCAATAAGATCAAACATCACTTAGGCACAGAGGATGACTCGGATTGAAAACCTTAGTCTTAGGATCTTCTACTTTGCTTAGTTAATGTATTCTTAGGCTAGTTTTCTTGTTACGTTTTTATATCTATGAGCTGTAATCATTTTAATTTCATAACAATTTAGTTGTAATGCTTTTAATTTCTTGATGTTATGCACAATTCTAAGTTTGGTTTAATTTGGTTGCAATGGTAAATGTTTAAATTTAAATTTGCTATGTTTAAGTATGGTTGTTAAACAACGAATGCTTGAATGACTTAAATTGATTGGTATTGGTTTCTAACATGATTTGAATATGAAAATTTTCATGATTTATACTTCTTGCATGGTTTATACATTGATTACATGTTGAGTATATAAAACAAGTGGTTGATATTGAGTATAATCTACAATGTATATGATATTTCTCTTGAGTTTTTGGACTTCTAAACTTGGTATGAATTTATTTTTAATGATGTTCAAAGGGGGAGAAAGTGTAATTGTTTTGTAGGTTGAGTATATAAAGTATTGAAGCAACAAAGTATGATTTTTGGTTTAAAAGAAAGATAAAGAGTACAAAAACAAGTAGGATGAGTCAAAACAAGTTAAATGTCATCATCAAAAAGGGGAGTTTTTTGATCAAACTCAAGATGAAGACATGATCCTAGTTGGTTTTTATGATTACAAATAAGCCTCCTAAGAGATAAGAGTGCAACTTGTAGTTGATTTTAAGTTTTGAGCCTTTTGATAGATAAGAATACATGTTGTATCTTGTTCTGTGTATTTTAAGTTTTGTTGCTTGTGTGCTTTGTGCTTGGTAAGTAACTTAGCATTTTATCTCTATCTAGATAATGATTGATGACATAGATATAAGTTGAAATTGATTTTTAAAGAGAAATGATATGAAAATTTGAGATATAGACTTTTCACTTAAAATAATTGATTATTTCGAGTAATAATCGATTATTTTCTTTATTTTTCAGTTACTTGAAGAGCAATTTCTATAATATTTGATTATTAAGCAAAATAATCAATTATTTTAGAAACAAGGTTCTGGAATAATAAATTATTTCTCAAAATAATTGATTAAAGTGTTCTTGGTTGATTTTCATAGTTGCTCTGGAGAACAAATAGACACTAGAATGGGAGTTGAATAGTGTATATCAAAAAATCACACTTTTGTAAGTATATGAAGTAGTATCTGCAACAGACAAAGGGTTGGTAAGAGTAATCAATGAACATAAGAAGTTTTTATACTCACCTCAACCACCGAAGCTACGTCCAGTTCTCAATCCAACCAGATTGAGTTCCACTAACTTTCAACAAAGATACAAGTATTCTTTTACCAAGCTACTTCTAGCTCAAACAAGTGTTCTTTGACTGACCTATTCAAGCCAATACTCAAATATTCTTTTTACAACTAAGCCTCTCTAAGCTTAATCCCAAATATTCTTTTACAATTAAGCCTCTCCAAACTTTGCCCTATAACAATGGTTATGAAGGTATTACAAAGTTCCAATTACCATCTCTTTTAGACATGATTACAACAAACGTTTAAGAACAAGAAAACTCTTGAAGAAGATTTTTTAAGTTGTACATTTTCTTTATATCTTAAAGTTTTTCTATGTGTTGCTTCTTCTTCTTCTCTTAAGTTCTAGAAATTTTTATATAGTATCTTTGAAAGAGATGACCGTTGTAGCTTCTTGAGTCTGAATCATAGAACTACTTTATCTAGACTAGAGAGAGTGGAAAATCCATTGGTGCATTAAATGCTTCAATTAATGCCTTTCACCTAAATTTACTCCTTATCTTTGATAAATCAAGCTAGTTATCGGCAGAAAGTAGCAAAATGGGAACAACAGGAAGCAAAGTCAGCATGTAGTAAGGATGCAATCCTTTTTGTACGTCTTTTTAGTGAAATTTGGGATCTTTGTTGTTGTAGTGCTACTTGGCTTTCTTGTACATGCTTTAACATGTGTGAGATATGTTCTGACTACTCTTTTGTGTTATTTTCATTGTTGTTTAGGTTGATTGCCATGCAATTGTGCATAATCGTGTTGAGTAGGAAGAGTTTTCACAAGACAAAGCTTAGTCTTCTGAGTTTCTTTATGGGTCACTCTAATAGTTATGACATCGAGGCTGAGGTTTAGTGCTGTTTGTTTTTTGTCTTCTTTTGAGAAATTGTAAAGATCATTTTAGTTCCTAAACATTATTTTTTATTTTAAAACATGTATCTTTTATATAATCAAGTTCTATTTAGTGAAAATAAATCATGTGAATCCTTTCATTAAGAGTAAGAAGTTAATTATATTTAGTTGTTGTATTTTATTACCATTATTTAATTTAAAATGTTTTAGGGTATAAGGGTATCACATCTTTTATATTTTTTCACTTTGCAATTAATAGTTAATTATATAATGGGAAAAAATATTTAGTATTTTATTGATATTGAAAAATGGTTATTAAAATGGAACAAAAAGGTACTTTCAAAAAATACATGGATAAAATACGATGTTTACAATTATCTTTGAAATTTTATTTTTTGATGAATAAAAATAACACTATATTTTTTCCTTCCTTTAAACAAGAAAAAGAAAAACATAGCTTATAAATGCTATCATTGATAGCATGAAACAATATTATATTCCTTATTTGATGTAGATTTCATATGGTATCTGAAGTTCAAAAATAAAAATAAAATGACATAATATAAAAGAAAATACAACACAAAATAGAAACAAACAAGTAGAATATTCAATCATGTTTAATTAGTGGGTCCAATCTTTTACCTGCATAAAAGTGATAATGTAGAGCTAATTCATTTAAGACGAGGTTGACTTGACAAGCTCTTTGGCAACTTGCTCCATGGTAGGGCGAGATCGTGGGCTTTCATTCAAGCAAGCGATTGCTATCTTTAAAATTGATATCACTTCCTTAACAACAAGGCTAGTTGGATGAGGGAGACGTTGGTCCAACTTATCCATCAGTAGAGTATGATCAAGTGTTATGGCCGCACTAGTCATTGAAGATGATACCGATAAAGAAGATATGGCATCACCAGGGTGTTTTCCAAAAAGTATTTCTAATGCCAAGATTCCAAAACTATACACATCACATTTCTCATTTACCTCCATTGTGTATGCAAGTTCTGTAAGAAATTAAAAGTGATATCATATGTTAAATTGGATTCTAGTGACAAGGACAAAATGAAGATATTTGTTAAGTGGATTTATTTGTAAATGACTAAAAAAGACATGCTAAAAAACCATCATATCCCCAATTGGTAAAAACAAAGGAAATTAACCTGGAGCAGCATATCCAAAAGTTCCAGCAAATGAGGTCCAATTTGATGAATTTGGATTAAGAAGCTTAGCTGTTCCAAAGTCTGAGACATGAGCAATATATTCTGAATTCAAAAGGACATTCTTGCTTGATATATCACGATGAACAATTGAAGGTGAGCAATCATGGTGCATATAACATAAAGCATTTGATACACCTTTAACGACATTCACCCTTTTATTCCAGTCAAATGCAATTGCTTGTTCATCATCCTTCAAATTCTTTTCAACATCTCCCTTCTCTAGGAACTCACACACTAAAAATGAGAATTGTTTATGCAAACAAAACCCATATAACTTTACAATGTTACGATGTCGAATTTCTGTCAAAGCTTGGATCTCACTTGTGAAAGCTTTCATATCGAATATTTCTCCATTTGGAAATGAGTGGAGTTTCTTTACAGCAACAACTTGACTTGTAGGTAACATTGCTTTGTAAACAGATCCTTGACCTCCAACCCCAATGAGATATTTGTTATCAAAATTTTCTGTGGCCTCAATAATATTCTCAAATATCATTTTTCCATCAAAGCTCCATATTGCAAATATGTTTGGATTTTGTGAATTTGTGCTTGGGCCTTCTTTTTTCTTTGATGTTTTGCATAAACGATACAAGACTCCAAAAGCAAATAAGGCAAACATTAAAGTGCCCAAAGTAAGGGGTAAAACTAATCTTATGACTTTTTTTTCCATATGATTATGAGATTTCCAACTTAATGTTGCACAAGGCTCTAATCCAGTGATATTGCCACACAAGCCTTTATTATTTCTCAATGCTTCAATTGTAGCATTAAGGAAGGCTGGTCTGTTTGGAAGTGGACCCTCAAATTGATTATATGAGATATCAATAGATGTCAAGCTTATCATACCAATAAAACTAGATAGATCACCTGAAAGATTATTGTGAGATAGATTTAATGTTTGTAAGCTTTGCATTTCTCCAAGCATTGATGGTATTGTTCCATTCAATAAATTTTCACTAAGATCGAGACTTGTAAGAAATTTCAATTTGCCAAGCTCTAAAGGAATATTTCCCTCAAATTTATTTTGGCCTAGACCCATGTTCAATAAATTTTGCAAATTTCCAAGTTGTTTTGGGAATAAGCCAGAAAAATCATTTGACCCAAGCATCAAACTTTGAAGATTTTGTAATGCTATGATTTCTATGGGAACATTTCCTGTGAGACTATTGTTGTTGATTGAGAGATTAATCAAGAAGGTCAACTTACATAAATCTCGTGGGATGTTTCCTGTAAGATGGTTTGAGGATAGGTCAAGTACATGTAAGTTGGTTGCCCCGCCTAATTCTGGTGGTATAACACCTGATAAATTATTGTTGGAGATCTTGAGGCTTCCGAGTTTATGGAATTTTCCCCAGTTAGGTGAGAGGTGACCATAAAGATTATTTTCACTTAATTCGATGTAGTTCAAGTTTGGAAGTACACCAAAAGCGTTTGTTATATCCCCATTTAGTTGGTTTTGCTGAAGCCTGACTCGTATAAGGCTAAAGCAATTCTTCAAACTCTCTGGAATCGGGCCATAGAAATAGTTATTGCTAGCAGAAATATTTGTCAGCTTTCCACCAATGCAAATGTTTTGAGGTAAATGTCCAATAAAATTATTGTCATTTATCTGCAATTTTATCAGATTAGTAAGTCTGTTCATTTCTGTTGGAATCTTTCCACCAAGTTTATTATCACTTAATAATAATACACCGAGATTTGTTAAATTTCCAATAGTTGAAGGAATTGATCCAGAAAGGTTGTTTCCCAACAATTGGACCTGGTCCAATGAATGGAGATTTCCCACTTCATCAGGAATAGAGCCTGATAAACTGTTTGAATAAAGGTAAAGATAATATAAATTGGTCAAGTTTCCAATTGTAGAAGGGATTGTCCCTGAGAGAAAATTACGAGACAAATCAAGTTCACTAAGTGTTTTCAAAGATTCGATTTCATGAGGAATAGAGCCAAAAAGATTATTTTCTGCAAGATTTAGGATCCTGAGGTTAACCAACTTCCCAATTTCACGAGGAATAGGCCCACTGAAATTACATTGGCTCATGTAAAGTTGTGTTAAGTTCCCTAACATCCCAATTTGTTTAGGTATGGAGCCAGAAAGGCCACTTTTTATAAGATTTAGATACTCTAGATTCCTTAAGTTCCCAATTTCTCGAGGGAGGGAACCGTTGAAGTTATTATCTGCAAGAGACAAATACTTTAGTTGGTTCATGTGCCAAATTCCCTCTGGAATGTTGCCAAAAAAGTTGTTGGCTCCTAAATCTAGAGTAGACAAATTGTTTAACTTTTCTATGGAGTTTGGGACAATCCCTGTGAGATTGGGTAGGGAACCATTGAAGTTATTAATTGCAAGTGACAAATATTTTAGGTCCATATGCCATATTCCCTGTGGAATGTTGCCAGAAAGGTTGTTACCTCCTAAATCTAGATAAGACAAATTGTTTAACTTTTCTATTGATATTGGAATAGGCCCTGTGAGATTAGACCACTGGAAATCAAGCATCGACATATTCCTCAAGCTACCTATTTCTTGAGGAAGAGATCCACTGAAAAAATTATGACCCATGACCAATGAATGAAGACCAACCAATTTTGTTATTTCAGAAGGAATTGTCCCAGATAAACCATTGTCATGAAGAAAAAGATAAAAGAGTTTGGATAGATTACCAATGCTATTTGGAATGCTACCAAAGAGATTATTAGCTGACAAATCAAGAGCGTTGAGTTTGAACAACACTCCAATTTGAGGAGGAATACTTCCATTCAAGGAGTTGTGACTCATATTTAAAGTGAGGATGTTTGGAAGTAATGAGAAGTTAAGACTTTGAAGGGTACCTCTTAATCCAACAAGTGCAAGACTTATGTGGGAAACAGAATTGGACTCATCACATGCAATTCCAAGCCAATTGCAAGTATTATTGCCGGTCCATGAAGAGAGAGAAGCTCGGCTTTGGTTGTCAAGGGTGGCTTTCCACTTCAACAAAGCATTTGCTTCTTTGCTATGTGATCTTGCTGAAGAAGCAAAGGAAGCAATCTCTGAAGAACCAGCATCATAATAATTAGGAGAAATGGCCATTGCAAGTGCACAAAAGCACATTACAAGAAGTACACAAAATGGTTGGAACATCGTGGAGAGAATCATTGGATATATGAACACTACCGGGAAATTTTCAACCACCAATTGTCTGATACAAGGCAGGAGAAATGCTTGCTTCAACTTCATGATATGTTACAAATATTTATAGGCAAAAAGTAAACGATTCAATAGTCGAAGTCAATAAACATTACTTGTACGTATTAGAGAGATACGTTGCCCCATTTCAATAGGTTTAAAATAAAATTTATATATGATTTTTTCTGCTATGTGATCCTTTTCAATTTTGAATAAAGGAAACTAACACTGTTTTATTTCAAGATTTTAATTTTTAAAAAATATGTTACCGTCAATTTCTATGAATAAAAAAATATATGAACAATAAACCATTAACGTCCCTGCTTGGTGCATTTTAGCTACTTCAGTCTCCATAAACCATGCTTTTCTTTTAACATGTTTTTCTTTGCTGTAAAAGGTTAACAGTAGAGTCATTAATATTTTTTATTTATTCACAGATTGTTAAAATTGTTTTTAAGTTATCTTAAGTGCTTTCAAAGTGATTTTTTTTTATAGGCAATCAATTTATACATTTCATACTATTCACAATTTGATTTCTGTTGCCAAATAAGATATTTTTGAAAATATTCTTAATTATATATTCAGAAAATTAAAATTAATTTTTACTTTGGAATTAACTGTTTCTAACAGACAATTAAATTTTCTTTCAAATGTTATGTAGGAGTGAAATTGAAATTAGTGTTTTTGGATAGGATTGACGTTTGAGTCATACGGATAAAAAGATTATGATTAGAAAGGGAAAAATTCACATTTGAGTCATATGGACAAAAAGATTATGATTCGAAAGAGCAGATCACATTAAAAGTGATGAATATTTAAATTCTTCGATAGTTTAGTGATTAATAAAGTACATGAATAATTTGTATAAATGATATGTAAAATTAATAAATTTTTTTTATTTTTAATGCATATGTTAAAACTTAAATTTTAAGACTAGTATATATCAGATTGTGCAATTTGTAAGATAAATGTTTATGTTATCGAACGAAATTTTAAAATAAAATTATACTATACGTAAAATTTGTATTAAGTAAATATATTATAAGATACGAAATATATTTTAGACTTAAAATGTGATATAATATTATTTTTAACTATTAATAATTTCTTTTAAAAATATTTAAATAAATTTAAGAATAAAGATACAAATGATAAATCAAAAGGTATGATGTTGAGAAAACTTCTAAAATCACTCATTGAAAAAAAAAATCCTAAAACTTCAAAAATCATATTTTAAATCCCATTTTTTTAATTAAATCACTAGAACAAAGGGTTAGACTAAACGCGTTTGAATTTAAGTTTATTTTCATCGATTATCACCATCTTTGTAAGTTTTTCCATAAAAAAAATAAATTAATGTGAAGTATCTATCATGTTTAATATATTGACCTTTATTCGACTGACTTAAAACACGAGACTGGCTTGCTTACCAAATCTGCGCCTGAATTCACTTAAACTAATTAAATATTAATAATAAATCAATATAATTATTTTAATTTATACGCAGAAAAAAATATTTCCTAATATCTTTAATTTTGCGATCTTATAGTTATGATCTATTTTACAACATCTAGAAAATGTGACTGATAATTACATGTTTTTCTTATAATAAAATATACACATTTGTTTTCAGTAATGTTTCACTAATTCATTGTAGTTTACATATAAACAGGTTCAATTTTAATAATATTAAATCAAATAAAATCTTTAAATTTAAAAATTAATTAGGATGAAGAGATGTAAAAATGAATGACCTACGAAAGCAAAGTGATATGTTACAATCTATCAATCAAAAAGTTTAACTAATTACACTACAAGAAAATTATCATACAATGACACACTCTATAATGACATAACACGCGTTGCTAAAAATTACTTTTATTCATATACGAAATATAATATATGTTGATATATTATTAAAAAATGTTAGTATAAATTATAGTGATAAACAAAATATATTATTAAATTACATTCAAAATTAATACTTAAATTGTGTGTAACGATATGTAATATATATATATATATATATATAATATATGTTGGTATATTATTAAAAAGTGTGAGTATATACTATAGTGACAATAAAATATATTATTAAATCTCATTCAAAATTAACACTAAAATTGTATATAACTATATATCAAATAGATATATATATATATATATTGTACCTATAATGACATTTTTTTGTATATATCATTAGATGTAACATTTTTTTTAATGTTAATAGTATCTGAATGAGATTGCAAGCAAGGTAAAATTTCCTGGTGCAATCAATGCATAGGAAAATATCGAACATACATGTTTGTTCCCTAAGATCAACAATGATAATGAAAATGTTTGAATCTTCCTCCTCTTATTTAATGTATAATTGATCAAATATTCAAATTATACTATACCTTCGATCTTAATTTTTTTAGTGTTGTTTATAGCCTTTAAAAAAATACAACAAAAAATATAATATGTTTTTCACAAACTAATTAGCTTTGAGTTTTCTATTATATCTCTTTTCATTTTAATTACTTCAAAAAATAAATGCATGCCAGTTAATTGTTAATATTTTAATTAAATTTTTTAAAAAATGTTAGGTATAATTGACAAAAAAAAATAACTAATATTGTTTCAAAATTTTAAAAAAGGCAAATAAAAAACTCTTTTAAAAGAAAAACACAATTAGAAAAGAAAGTAACTAGACCACTAGGGTTAGCCTAATGGTTGGGTGGGAAGGGGTTGGAGTAGTTAGAAGCATGAGGACCTAGGTTCAATCCTCATTGCGACCATCTTTGTAATCTTTCCTATCTTTACTAAAAAACAAGAAAGAAAGTAACTCATAAGTTACCGGTAAATTTATACGTTACGTATTTGGCAAGTATACCAATTGACTTAGTATTAAAGAGAATATTAATTAATTAATTAATATAATTTAATATTAATAAGGGAAAAGAAAAAATAGAATTATTTGAAGAACTCAATAAAGATAAAGAACATATAAGATGATGGAAAACATAATTATAAATTTTAAATAAAAGATGTCAAGGATTGATTTCATTGACTTTCCTCACATGTATCCTTCCCAATTATTATTTAATTTTAGTTATTATTAAGTTAATTCAACAACCAACAAAAATATTTTAACCCTAATTCCTAAGGTGAGAAATTCTAGGTTGCTTAAAGAAAATCTCAATTCCTTGGTGATGTTTGTTAAGTAACCTACATTAAAATCGAAAGTTTAAAAGTCAACTAATAAAGTTTATATCAATTCATTAGCAATAAATGTCATTAGTGTTTTATCTAGGTCATAATTTTAAAAAGGGTTTTCCAACCTCGATTAAAAATTGTAAGATCATGAAGAGGTTGATCAAGTTACAACAAGCATTAAGCATAGGAATAAAACGATTAACTAAAAAACATTAATTGAATAAAAACATAAAGAATTACATGGAGTAGGTTCGTTATGTCAATCCCCAATAACGACTCCTTTTCCTATCAAATGTTAAACTTTACAATATGTTGATTGTCTTTCTATTATCTCCAAACCGTACTTTTATAATATTATAAATGGGCTTTTCCTGTGACACCCTCTACCCTTCATGCCATAACACATATATAATAAAAATTGAATAATAATTCTTTAAAATTAAAACCAAACATGTTCAAGTAGAGAGTATCACATTCATAACTTAAACAAAATAGCATAATCAATGGAAATAACAAAAGGAATAAAACTAATGTTTTCGAAATAAATTAATAGTAACCACATCTTAATATAATCCTATCTACGTCTCGATGTCACATATCCTATCGAAGCAAAATCCAACACTAAAATCTAAGCCTCATCACCAATGTCATCAAAATGAAAAACAACACAAAGAAAAACAACACAAAATGAAAGGAAGTGAGAAACATCTCACTCTAGCTCATAGTGTAGCAATGCACAACGAATAGCCGAACACAAATAAGACATACATAGGTACATAGAATAGATAGGTTAGTAACAATATAACAATTCAATCATCCATGACATAATAATTAATTAATATATAACATTTCAATGCACATGTAATGGACACAAACTACTTTGTATCATTCATGTGGTGCCAATAAAAACATCACATGGTGTGTTGCCGCTAGTAACACACATAAAGGAGCCTAGAAGCAAATGCAGGATCACACCCTCTACACACTCTCATTAGGAGGAAATACTACTAAGGTTTAATCAAGATAGTTGAGCTGCACAAGATATATCTCATGCACACAATGAGCGAGATTGAGACTTACAAACCAAGTTATCCCCAAGGATTGATCCCCAAACTTTAACAAGTGGTGGCCTTATCAATGAGATAACCTTCACTAATGAAGAAAATAAATTTGTGTTACACCCTCTTACACCTACCCAAGTGGCAAAATATCAAACACAATTGAAACTTGTAAAAGAAAGTAAAAATAAAAATAAGGAAAAATCTTCTTCTTGAGAAATTGTTAAGAAAGAAAGTCATCTTTTTTTAAAAGGTAAAATCAAAAGGACTCTTTATATTAAACAATACCTTGGTTCATCAAACAATGAATTGGTGAAGAATTTTGTTTCTTCCTCTGTTTTACCACACATAAAAATATTAAGAAACAATCAAGTTATGTGAGTCACAAGATGAATCTTATGTTCTATGCACAAAATGTAATGTTTACAACTTGTAAGCATTGCAGATGACATAATTTGGTTTCATGGTATTCATAAGAGTTATGCCTTTTATGTTAGATTTTTAATCGTGTTGGAAGCACCCAAAAAAAAATCTAGAATTCGAGTTATGATTAAATTAGTGAGTGCAGGTTAAACTATTAGAATTAGGCAAAAATAATAGTTGTTTTTTTTTTTTAAATAGTAGATGGTAAAATCAATAAATCAACACAGAAGTTGTATACAATGATCTTAGCTTTATAATAAAATTAATATCAATTTGATATTATAGGTATAACTTTAGATATTGTGTTTAGATCACATAATTTCATAAAAGCTCAAGATAAAAAGAGATAATTTGTGAGATGT